TAAAGACTTTTATATGCCGCTTCACAGCCCTCTCTAAGCGGTTTATAGAGTCAGCCTCTTGCCCCCAACAATCTGGCTCCTCATTTGACCCACCTCTGAAGGATGGAAGAGGCTGAGTCAACCTTGAGCCTGGTGAGATTCGAACTGCCAAATTGCAGTCAGCCGGCAGTCAGCAGAAGTAGCCTGCAGTACTGCACTCTCACCACTGCACCAGCATGGCTCATATTACTTGGTTGACCGTTGTTTGTATGTACACAGAGAGCTTATGCAACAGAGACAAATTCGTTGTGTGTCCAATCACACTTGGCCAATAAAGAGTATAGTACAGTATAGTACAATACAGTATAGTATTAGTATAGTATAGCAATAGCACTTAGATTTATATACTGCTTTATAGTGCTTTATGGCCCTGTCAAATTGCAGGCCGCTGGTTGCAGAAGAAGCTTGCAGTACTGCACTCTAATCAATATGCCACCATGGCTCTTGTCTATAGTCTAGTTTAGTCCAGTATGATTCTCACTAGATGCTGATTTTGTAAGGCATCTGAAAGAGGGAGACAGAATACAGAATAACAGAGTTGGAAGAGACCTTTGAGGTCTTCTAGTCCAACCCCCTGCTCAAGCAGGAGACCCTGAATGAAGGAACATGAGTAGTCCATGGTCACCCAAGAGAACTTAAGTCTAAATTTCCAACGTTTTAGCCCCATTACCACCTGGGTTCTTGACTTCAACTTATCAAAGGAACAGCAACTACCAAACAGATCAACGCTTAATCTGCAAATCCAGGAAAATTCTAAGCTGGAATTAACTCAATTTCCCTGTGATGTTCAGCAGCGCTGTGGGTAGATGAGGTCCATGCAAAATTCCCGTTGCATCCATGGTCATGTCCAGACAGCATTTGCAATACAGGTAGTCCTTGACTTACAATACTCCATGGTCATGTGATCAAAATTCAGACGCTTGGCCATTGACTCCTATTTTTGAGGGGGACAGGGTCCTGGGGTTCTGTGATCCCTTTTTAATGACCTTCTGATGAGCAAAGTCAACGGGGAAGCCAGGCTCACTTAACAACCATGTTACTCACTTAAGAACCGCAGTGATTCACTTAACAAAGGTGGCAAGAAAAGTCATCAAATAGGGCAAAACTCACTTAACAATTATCTCGTTTGGCAACATAAATTTGGGGCTCAATTGCAGTCGTAAGTCGAGGACTACCTGTACGAGCAAATACTCTTTCCTTCTGCTTCCAGGGTGTCCAAAAAAAAAAAAAAAACCCTTACGGATTAGAAAAAAAAAATTAACTGCACAAAATCTGCACCTGTTGCAATGCTGGTGCTATTCACAAAGCCAAACAGGTAGAAGTCTGAATCCAATGCTACGGCGTCATGCAATACCAATAGTCCAGGCTTTAAGCCCAAAAACTAGATATTGGAAATTGCTAGATGAAAGAAAAGCCACGATGTGCACAGAGAACTAATCTTCCCGTACACGTTTTTTGATTTACAGCTTGGGGTGGGGGGAATCTCAGAAGCCATGTTTCCTCCTGAAACAGCCTCAAAAGTTTATCTTCACTTTTTATTCCTCTATTGTCACATGGAGGATTCACAGACAAGAGGAGGAGGAGGAGGAGGAGGGGGAGGGGGAGGAGGAGGAGGAGGAGGAGGAGGAGGAGAAGAAGAAGAAGAAGAAGAAGAAGAAGAAGAAGAAGAAGAAGAAG